GTAGTAGTTGTAGTAGTAGCAGCAGGAGCAGGAGCAGCAGCAGCAGCAGCAGCAGGAGCAGCAGAAGCAGCAGCAGCAGCGGCAACGGTAGTAATCGCTATCGTCGTCGTCAGTACTAGTTGCTAGTTGCTAGGTCATGTTGCCGCTGATGCTGGTGGCGCTGGTGGTGCTTGTGCTGTTGTTGCTGATGGCTGCCATAGCATGGGATCCGCATGCCGAAGTCCTGAATGAAGAATGATGTCCATGCTGTGGTTTCATGCCGTTGTGGGGGAACCCGCTCAGGACAGCAAGTGGTTTGAAAGGTACCGCAGTTCGTCTTGCTACTCCTTGCTTGCGTCAGAGCTATGCAGCACGCTTGGTGCACGAGCCACATTCGCACGAGAAGTGATCACATGAAAGTATTGAAGCATTGAGGCCGGCGCTGTAATTGTCCAAAACACTTGAAACCGACGGGTGCTGGGCCCACCTGTCTCGCACAACAATCGACAAGTGTGACCATGATCCCTGAATTTCGATCCACATGAATGATACAACCCCGTGCCACTGGCACATGTCGGCTAAATCATGTCGGTGGTCTGCTGGATGCTGGACAGACCACTAGTTCTCGGCATGGCACTGGCAATACTTGTGGTACCGCTACTGCAATCAGAAGGCTCTTTATGCCCACGTTCATGTTCATGCTAAACCTTACAATCATGTAGTTCTCACATCCATGATGCTTGAGTTGTAGCTTCATGCTTATTCTGGCAACGGTAGCAACCATTGCTTTCCTGTCTGGTTTTCCATGTGATGTCGACTCATACTTGCTGGGAATGGAGACAGGATGGTGCTGAACAGCTGGCCTTGACTAGTTCATATTCCAGCAGTTACGTCCTCCGGCAGCTAAGCAGTAGTGTAGGATCTTCATTGCAAGGACTCTTCAAGAATCGGGACTACAAGAAGCCTTCAACATCCTTCAAGACTGGGGTGCCAACTAGTTTGTGGAGAACCCCCCCGCCCCCATTCCCAAATCCATTTAACGAGCAAGCCAGCGCTACCAAGCGATGCCGGCAGCAGTCCTGACAGGGGTTGCTTCAATATTAGTATGATATGTTATGTTCTCCTTTATCATGGTGTGGTATATCATAGTACATCATAGTATGTTTTAGTATATTGTAGTAGATTACGGCTTGTCATAGTCATGGTATTATAGTAGTATGTTAGAGTTGAGTATGTTGTCGTAGTATGTCATAGTAAACCGTGCTTTACTATACTATCGGCTGTCGTAGAAAAGCTTAGCTGAACTTCATCAATGAGATTGCTTACTGCCAGCAGCCGTGAATGATCTAAACTAGTGCTTCTCACCTTTGAGACCAGGTGCACTGCTTGCTGTAATGTACTATAGAAATATGCGAAAATCGCCGAAATCATACTGTAATACACTACTAAATATCAACAACAGTAACCACAAGGGATTCGGGTTGGCAAAGTGTTGGCAGTGGTGGCTGTCACACTCCACATGACGAGCGAACAGGCGAAGACAAGTACAAGTCAGGGGAAGTGAGGAAAGCACAACGACACCGACACACCCATGCATTTACACTTCATGCGTCTTCATGCCCTGTTTACGTACTGTTTAGACTAACTTCCAATCTATCCGAGCCTCAACCTCTGAAACCTTGAAGTCGAAACTCTGAACATGACAGCTAGAGGGCTGAACTCTTGAAGCAGAGCTTCCAGCCAGCATCCACCCGCTGGTATGCATTAACTCCCAAGTCGAAGAGCAGCCACTGCACGATCTGCCGGGCAATCAGAGCTTTACAGAGCACAGCGATCACTCAAAGGGGAGTCATAGCACGTACCAGCATTTCCTCGCCCATCAACAGCTTTTTTGGGATAATCGTCTTGCCAGTCAATCCTTCGATCCATAGGCAGAAAGGACGAAAGCTGATCCGTTAGTCTCGTATTGCTAGAGTCTTCGACGTAGTTCTGTCCAGGCCTCTGCGACACCCCTTGCCCAACACTTCATTAGCGTTACTGCTGTTGTCAATGAATGCTTCTGATCCATCCTCGAGCTTCCTGTGCGGGCTGCTAAGGACAGTGGCTGCACAAGCACAAACTGTGAGGCCAAGAAAGACGACATCACCCTTGAATTCCTGGACGTGTGACAGCTGTCATGAAAATCATTGTGGTGAAAATGGTGTAAGGGATCATCGCAACTTCTCCTGCTGATGCGACAACTCGCTCAGAGCAACAGGCAGAATGACATATATCAACAAATCGATAATCACAGGAGCTGTCACTGCTGTCTCTATCACAGCAACAGGGGGCCTTCCGCGCTTATACGACAGCAAGGACAGAGAAGGCCTCCCGAACTATACTCGAAAGACTGGCGGCTAGCAACAGCCTGAATACAGCAAGCAACAAGCTGCAATACGACCATCACTCTCATGCTAACAATCAGTTTCACAGTGGTCACGAACGCAATGATCATCGTCACTTGTATCCGTCTGATCTTCCCTTCTAAGCGTTACCATCACCACAACCAAAGCAATCACCACACGACCACAAACGGCCGCAACCATGCCGACCAGCAGCATCACCACTGTCACCATCACCATCTCGCTCACCGCTGTCCCTAAAGAGTATCACAACCACTTAGTCACTTAGCTACCCATTGCCAGTGTCGCCATTTTCGCCATCATCACTATTATAACGATACTATTCGTCGTCATGGTCGCTGCCGTTGCCGAGATACTCATGATCATGACGATGATCATCATCAGACTTTGACAAGAGCATGGTCATCACCTTGTTTGCAATCCGACGAGTCATGCTCAGAATGATCTTCGTTGTCGGCACTATCGGGAGCCATAGCGAGCAGCTGTAAGTCGGAACAAAATCATCGACCTGCCCATGAACAAATGTGGTTGCAAGAACCGGTTAGCACCTGTGCATGACCGTTCCGGCTCGCGATGTGCAAGGGCGTCCACCCTTCGTTCTGCGGCTTCTCCGGATCTGCTCTTGATGCAAACAACCTTGCTTCGACTGCAAGTTCCGTGACGAAGGCTTGCGAGGGTGGGGCATTGCAGAATGGCTAGGAGAGCATGGAAACAACTTTTTCCAAAAAAGGCTGCAAGTTTCTGGCGCTGATCGTTCACAAACTCCATGCAGCTGCGCCACAGTTTCATGAGCTCAAGGTTTCCCGTCCAAGCCTCAGCAAGCTCTCATGCACGGCCTCTTCTACACGTCGCATACCATGCGTGCACATTTGGATGCCAAACCTGTCACAACGATCTTGAAGTGCCGCCCCTACTCTCCCGACCGCCTGCCAACATGTCGAGCTGCCGCCACGTGAAGTGCACTGCCACCGTCAGCATTTCTGCGGCCCAAGTCCGCCCCAGCAGACAGCAAGCAGCGAGCCTCAAAAGAGTTCGGTCCTAGCAGTCCCGCTTCACGATGTCAGAAAGATGCAAAGCTGAGAGTTTGAGAGCGCTTTGTATTTGATAATAAAGACCACGTCGATGTCGATGCATACCAGTAACTATACTAGCATGCTCGAGATTAATTCTGCCGGTCAGCATGATCTCGATCCTGTTGCCCGTCCTCTTACTGCTACGTTCAGCCTTGCGCTTGTCGCTTGATTCATCAACGATCATGGGCTTAGGGTTTAGGCTTCAGGGCTTAGGAACCCTAAACCCAATGCCCCCCATGCCCTGCAGACCTTCCCAGTGCATCCGAGCATCGACCTCCAAGTGCCCATTCAGAGTGGTGATGTGCCTGAGCTTGGGTGCGGGTGAGCATACCGAACGCCCCGGCAGAGTGGCTCTTGGTCGCTTCGTCCCCTGTGACCGACAGTCAAGAGGCAGGGGGGGGGGGGCTGAAGGCTTCAGATCATCTTGGATGTTCGCTTCGGGATTGTTGTTGCGCTGTTGATGCAACCCACAGAGCAGGCTGAGAGGGCCAAAGCGGATCTTGTGTGATCTACCCTGAGGCAGTCCGACCTGTCCGCCCGAGGCAGAAAGCTTGACAGGTTACGCCTGAGTTAGAGTATTTAGAGTGTGCACCCCCGAGAAGTTGCACACATGCAGGCAAAATGCCTGCACATCTGTACACGCAGCTGTCTCAGTATATACCTTTGTGCATATGTCTGTCTGTCTGAATATCTGTCTTTCTGCATGTATGTATGCATGTACGCATGTATGTACGCGCATGCATCTACATACATCTTTCTTTCCGCGTGTCTGATCCCGTCACACATTAGCATGTTCTATGTGTTCACGTACAGATGCGCATGCACAATGTTTTAACGTTGGTGAAATTGGAGACTGCATCGGAACCCGCAACCTAACCCGACACACCGTCGAACACTTGCGGAACGTTCCTGTGCGGCACGCGGTGCAAAGGAGTCCAACCTTCGCCTTCGCTGCCATTTGGGTCCGCCAGCTTCTGCGAAGGCTTGGCAAATCATGTGTTGCAGGCACGAAAGGCAGAACTCGGAACAATGCCGAGGATGCTTCGTTGTTGTTTGAGTCGTTTCCTTGTCATTGTCGCTGCCTAGTAATCAGTTCGGCTTCCCGCTTCCCAATGTGCGCGATAAACAAGAGACGATCCGGCAAGATCGGATTGTCCGACTGTGATAGCATTGACCTAGTGTGCTTGGAAGCATCACAAGAATCAGAACATGCAAGTTCCTCGAGAAGCTTCTGCGTGAGACCCACATCACCGTCCTGGCGGCACGTGTTTCGAGCAGAATCGAGGATTGATGTCGTCCTAGATTTACGAGTGCTGAACAGTACATTGACTCTACTTGGGACAGGGAAGGAACATGGCAGAATCGTTTGACCTGCTGCGAATGCCATCTTGGGCTTCTAGTGTTGAGGCTTGAGCGAAAGTTGCCTTCATTGATGTCACATGCCGCTAAACTTGCAGCGTGTTCACAGAATGGATGCCCAATTAGTCGGAGGATCCCTTGTGCTAAGTTCCTTTACGGGACTTGCTGCCCGTCCTAAAATCGAGTGCCCGCTGACAGAAACCATGTGGAGCTCGCATGGCTCACACGGATGGCACATCTTCCCCCGGACACTGAGCAAGACATCTCCTCTGCAGCATTCAACACTTCCACCTGGGCCGTTGAGCAAATGGAGACATGAGTGGTGCTCGGAGGATACTGAGCTCTTCCAGGATTGATGCGGCACGCCTACAAGCTTTTCTCCCGACAGAGCTGCCTTCCTGCAGCCGAGTTTCGGTGAACTCTGGCTTGTAGTTGAGCACCACCTGAAGATGGCGCAAGACAAGAGGTTGTCTGCAGCTGCTCCACAAAACATGCGCTAAAGACTGGCGTCGAAGTACGGCAGGATTGCAGCAGGGGTCCTGGACTGTTCGGGATGTAGGATTCTCGGTTTCAGAGTGGATAAACTTTGTAAACAATCGCAAAGGTGCCGTTTCTCTATCGACACCATTAGAGTCAAAGCCACAGCCGTGAGCTCCCTCGGCATCGGCAGCGATTCGAGCTCGAGATCCTCCTCAAGGAGCTAACGAGTCTAAACGAGCTTCTGTAAGTGCCGGAAATAAGTACCAATATCATTTCTTCGGCTTCTTTAGGAATTAAACTGTAGTATAACGCAACCCCCAAAGCCCTGTTCCAACCCCTATTTTGGGGTTTACTGTGTCATTCAGGGGCCACGGTTCGAGGCTTCAGGCTGCGGGCTGGGATGAAGTGTCGGGTTTCAGCGTCGGCACTACGTGCTCCCTGGAAAAGCTCAACATCAAGGCTTCGTATTTGACTTTCAGGGCTGAAGGTCATGAATCCTGCTTCTGAGTCGCAGGACAAATCTCTTCCACCCTCTGCAGGGATTGTCTAAAAATGTTCTTCGCCCTGGCCAAGGTCTGTTCTGCAAAGGGCTGAAGGAGCGAAGATCGCAAGGCGAACACTCATTCACACAGATTCTGAGTCACTTGTGGAAGATCATCCGCGTGTCTCCAAACACTTTGCCCTGCCCAAGCCCTAAACCCTAAACTCAACATTCCGTCGGTGAAAGAAACACTTCTCAAGCATCTGCCGTCAGCACGTCAATGTCCGAAGGCATCTCCCGGAAGCTATTACATCGAAATATGGGAGTTTCCAAAATTAGGGCACCTTATTTTGGGGTCCTTATAATAAGGGTCCTACTATTTGGGGTACTATATTAGGGCCCCCTATTTTCGGAAACCCCCATATATCTGAACCTTCAATTTAGGGCTTTTCGTACTTCGCGGCGCCCAGTCCTCCAGCAGCTCGGGTGAACAGTTCGCCAGAAGCCGCAGGCGAAGCGATGGAACCGAGAGCCTGGTCATTAGGGTTTAGGGTTTAGGGGTTTAGGGGTTTAGGAGGTTTAGGGATGATTCCACGATTCCGATAATCCTGAAGGTCATTAGGTGCTTCAACTCTAGGACTCTAGGGGCCTAGGCTCTGGCTCTGGGGTCTGGGGATGTTGACGATTTATTACGACTGACCTTGCTCAACATCGCTGATCTTTCTCCAGATGCCCCTCCTTCTTTCCCTCTGCACTCATGTGGATGAGCTTGCAACCGCAGCGGTGGTGAAATCGTGGCGTCAAGGTCGTCGTGCTGCTACTGCTGCTATTGCCGCTGCTGCTGTTTCTACTCCTACTCCGATTGCTGTTCCTCCTGCTGCTGCTGCACACCGAAACACATCTACCAACTTTGCGCCGTTTGATTCGGCTACAGTACTTGAAGGAAAATTTGGAAGTCTATACCTTAAGTCCTAAACCCTTGACCCTAGCTGCACCTAATGCCGCTGTTCCTGCTACTGCACGTTGGAAAAGAGTCTGCCGGACCAAGAATTATTGCAAGCGAGGTCCGAAGAGTGTCTCCTGCCGAAGACAAGACTTTATGAAGACTGACGGGATAGCGCCTTTGAGGCGTTTTCAAGCGTGAAGCACTTAGCATGGCCGAGAAGGCACGCTAAAAGCTTCTCTCGTGCATCACAAGCGGCTGCTGCTGCAGGAGTCGTTTCAGCTCAGCAGCTGTCGGGCACTCCCTCAGAGACCTCGACCGAAACATTTCACAAAGCATGTCGCTTGGAGACCGGGTGGTGCAAGCGGTGCAGGCATGCTGTCACCATCGCTTGTTTCGAAACCACGATGCAGAGTTCTGGGAAAGATTGAGCTTCTGCATCTGGGCACCAGGCACTTGGAGCAGTCGCTCACCCGCCACATTGCAGACAGTGACTGGAGCACCTGCAGGTAGGGTGAAAACTGAGAACTTGAACGGCAGCAAACAGCATTCGATGCAAGGTGGCCGCATTCAGAAACTCCAGAATCTGCTTTCACGGCAAGGTTCAGGGTACCGAAGTGTAGCAGCGCCTGCCACCGTCGAGCACTGTCCGTGAAGCGCAGGCAGGTCCGGAGTACCTGTCCATGCAGTGTCCAAATAAGCTTTCACCGGCAGTTTCTAAGTCAGTGTCCTCTGAATACACACTTCAAGTTCGAGACCCAACTTCTAAATGCGTCAACCCCGCTTCTCAACAGCAATAACTCAATCCAACCAAGGCCCCGTTCCTCCGTGCCCGGAGCAACAATTAACCCCCCCTCCAAAAACATACTCGATGCAGCATCCCCCACCTGATCAACCAGCTCCAAGCACGTTTCACAAGCCCCAAAAGGTACACCCGGACAGAAACCAGGAATAAACAGAAAAACATCATACTTAACAAATAATCTACCCATTGATTAACAGAAAATTATTTGTAATCAATACTTCGCCCTGGAGCCTTGAAGCCCGCCGGGGCTTTCGGCGCAGACGATGGCTTGCGGTGTTCGCAACTCCGCTGGCTGCGAGCAGCCTGAGCGGATCCGGAGCAGAGCTCTAAGGCCCTAGTCCAGGAAGAGCGGTATAGGAGCAATAACAACGATTACGACGAAAACATAAAATAAAACCTAACACACAAACAAATAACAATAAGAACAGTAGTAACAGTACTAGTAATAGAAATAGCAATAGTAATCGTGATATTGATAGCAATAGTTGGTACAAGAAATAATAACCGTACTACGGATAAAAGTAAGAACAACAAAGTAAGAGCAATAATCTTATTCGTAATGGTACCGGTAATGGTAACAGTAATGATAATGGTAATAATCATATCATATTATTAATGACAGCAAGAATAACAATAAACGTAATACCAATACAATTAACCAGCAAGTCGGTCCGCTTTTGGTCCATGAAGAATTAAACGGAACGGCTCAGACATGATGCCAGCAGTAGCAGTGAGTGTGAGACAGCTCGTAAGAGTAGTGGAAAAAGCAAAGAACAGTCGTCGGCAGAGTGACAATACATGGCGGTAATAACCCGTACTTGTTAGCGTCAGTGCATGCGCAGCGGTGCTAGCGAAAGTGAGTGCGTACGACAGGCTTGCTGCGCAATGCTCGCCGGTAATGGTCAGCGCTGTCAGTAGTGCTGGATAGAGTAAGTGTAACTGCAATCCAATATGGAGCATGGCAATAGCGGCAGTCGCAGCACCACCAAAATGAACACCAGAATGCCTATCCATGACACTAACCGCGAGACAATGACGACAATGATACTGATTGCGTTAGAGGCTTCGGGCTTTGGACCTGAGGGTGTCACGGTTCTCGATTGTCACTGTTGTCTATCCGACTGATGTTGTCCTCTTGCTCCTGCTCCTGCTCCTGCTCATGCTCTTGCTACTGCTCCTTCTCGCCACCACCACCACCACCACCACCACGAACACCTCTACTAGTACTAGTTCTACAATAACTACTACTCCTACTCCTACTACTGCAACTGCTGCTGTTACTGCTTCTGCTGCTGTTACTGCTACTACTACTACTACTACTACTACTACTATAACTACTACTAACTACTACTACTACTACTACTACTACTACTACTACTCCTACTGCTACTGCTACTGCTACTGCTACTGCTACTGCTACTG